AACCTCTCTCTTTGAAGTTCTTGATGATCCGGTAAATGGTTCTTTGAGGTGTAATATTCTTTGTAGCGATTTCCTCAAGAGGGTCTAGCAGCAGCCTCGCACTTGCATTCTCAGACTTGCACTCTCAGACACTTGCGCTTCCGCTAGCGACGTCACTTGCAGTCTTTTATTTTTTATTTTGTTCTATTTATTGATTACTTTGTTTGAATCGCTCAACATTTTACAACAGTAGCCAGGTGGTGAAGACAAGAAAAAAGAAACTAAATTACAATGTCCCTTGCAATCGCCACTTGCACTCTCCGATACCTGCGACGTCACTTGCAATCCACACAAATCGTGCATGTTGCCAATGGAGACAAGACGCTGTGGTGCTGATTAAACGATTAAAACTATAACATACAGGGTCCTGCAAGAAAAAGACAAGACCCGCAAATCCGTTGCCACAGAACAGCAGAATATGAACACAATGCACAAAGCCTCTCGTTAAGCGTTTTCCTCTAGTAGAAAAACATAAACACTTAACATGGCGTAATGTATTAAGATACATTAAGTTCAATTAAAAGATCAAATTCGATATATAGTTATTATTTAATGTACTACAAGGCAAACAGATGGCTATGAACACAATGCGCAAACTTTCACTTGTCCTCCCATACAGCAAAACGCTTAATGTGGCATAATAACGGACTAAGATGATAAAGACAATTCAGTAGGCCGAGCCTGTATGTCTTGTTGTTGACTCAAAGTATATACAGACCAACAAATATGAACGTGCATTTTGAAATGCATTAAGTGATTTTAAAAGGATCAACTCCGTACAGGCAAGCAGACGAGCCCAGAACGCAATGCGTTAAATTGCACGTTAAACATTTTCCTCCTATAGAAAATCATTATAAATAAAACACGTAATGTAGCTTAATGGACAAAGACAATGATATAAAAGAGCTGTAGACAGTTTATTCTATATGGAAAAACGCTTAACACGAAACTGTGCGTGTTGCATTTATTCTGGGCTCACATGCATGCCTGTACATATTAGTTACGTATATTAATAATGTAGAGGAGCATATTGAGTTTGGCCTTTTTAGTCCATTATGCCACATTATGCCACGTTTTGCGGTATGGGAGGAAAATACTATATACATATTCATTATATTAATAAATTGTATATTTAATTTGATATTTTAATAGCATCTTAATACATTAAGCCATGTTAAGTGTTTATGTTTTTCTACAGGAGGAAAACGCTTAACGAGAGACTTTGTGCATTGCGTTCATTTTCTGCTGTTCTGTGGCGACAGATTTGCGGGTCTTGTCTTTTTCTTGCAGGACCCTGTATGTTATAGTACTAAATTAGTTTTAATCGTTTAATCACCACCACAGCTTTTTGTCTCCATTGGCAACACGCACAATTTGTGTGGATTGCAAGTGACGTCGCAGGTATCGGAGAGTGCAA